GAAATGATTTCTGGAGAAAAGACGTCGGAAGTGTTTTTCTATTAGATGAATGAAGTGAATTCTGGGAAAAAAAGCCGGAACTGTTTTTTCATTAAACTGATGAAATGAGTTCTGGGAAAAGCCATCGAGACTAGGACTAAACCTTTTAGTTTATCTTAAATAAAATAATTAAATGAATGATGTCGGAATTATAAAATTGTGATCTTGAGGATGTGCGTGTAGGTGTGGGTGAGAATGAGTGTGCGTGAGGTTGCTCAATGACTTAATAGCAACACTCACACCTTTCATCCTACGTGGTGATCTGGAGGCATAGAAGAGGGACCCAGAAAATTCTGTGATGGGCCAGACTCACTAAGTGTTTTATCCCAAAAATAGCGATGAAAAATGATACTAGAATGGGATTGCTATGTTGTATCTAATTTGAATTTTTGGCAGTAATGTATTTTTGATTCACGACAGGTCTACAAGTAAATCTATGTTTTATTCGTATGACTGTCTCTTTCATTGAGGGAATAAACTAGGAGTTTTAATTTAATATTTAATTTAATTTTAGATCAAAGTAAAAGGTCTACCCCGGTTTAGGACTGCTTTTTCATTAAATTAATGAAATGAATTCTGGGAACAGGAAGTCATGACTGTCTGTTAATTAAATTGATGAGAAATCCAGAGAAATAGAAGTGAAGATTGTTTTTCTATTAAATTAATGAAATGAACTATGGGGGAAAACGATGCACAACCCACTCAAAAGAGAAAAGAGAGAAGAAAAAAATAGAACTTACCGATCAATAAATACTTCGTCTTTTCTCATGAGTTACATTCAATTCATCGATTCACAATTTGGTTGATAATGACTTCAAGAAGACTTTCTTTATGGATTTTATTTATGATTATTACACAAATAATTGGAGAAGATATACAATCAATGATAATATCTTTGTTATCTAATTCCAAATTTGAATGTGCAAACACAACTTGTTCACCATTCCTTAATATAATTACATCAAATATTAAGAATTGCCAGGTTGCATGTTTAACTAGAAATCAATGTAAAGGAGCAACTTTTTATCGGTCAACTTCAGATTGTCAATTATTTGATAATATGTTGAATCAAAATGGAAATATGTTGACTGATGTTGATGCCATTAGTATGAATGTTGTTATTGGAACACGATTTCCATCAGGTTAGTATAAATACAAATTAAGTTGTTAGAATTATTATAAAAAAAGGTTTAATTAAAGTAAATTCATAGAATTATAATTATAATCTAAATCATTAAAACATTTTCGATTTATAATTATAATCAAGTCATATTTAACTTTAATATATTCTTAAAAAAAAAGAAACAAATTAACAGACATACATTACCCAATTCTTTAGTCTCGATCTAAAATCGTTTTTTTTAAATAGAGCCAACTACGACATCAACATCAACAACAAAATCCGCAACGTCATTCTTATTTACACCGTCATCAACATCACCAACTTCAATAACACCATCAACAACATCAACATCCACCACATCATCAACAACAACATCAACATCCACCACATCATCAACAACAACATCAACATCCACCACATCATCAACAACAACATCAACATCCACCACATCATCAACAATAACATCAACAACAATTTCTACAACATCCACTACATCATCCACAACAACATCCACCGACACATCAGCAACAACATCCACAACAACAACTTTGACAACAACATTCACAACAACAACTTCGATAACAGCATCGACAACAACAGGAATACCGCGTAAGTATTATGTTAAATGAGTTGTAGTGACTCAACGGATGATTACTAGAAGTGACTAGTGGCGTAACCAGGGGGGGGCCAGATGGGGCTTAGCCCCATCACCCGGATTTTGTGGAACTCACGTAAATTTTCGAAGAAAATCGTGAGTGTAAGTTTTAAGTTCCAGTTTCCCAGCTCCCCTTCCCCCCCCCCCCC